CATGGTTGCTAGCGGCAAACTCACATCGTGAATATGGCTTCATAATAAACGTTTTCTCGTTCAAGAGAAATCTGCTTCATTGGCACCGAAACAAACACTTCGGCACCCATAGCAGGCTTCTTATTCCCTCGCATCAGAAGGCGACGCGGTGTACCGAATTCATACGACGATTAACTGTATCTTTTGGACGCCTGGGAGAAAATAATGCGCGCAGACCTGGGTAAGGAGTAGGTGGTGAGGTGGGCCACTTGCAGTAACTATTTCATCCGGAAACACCTCACCTTCAAGACTTGTATGACGTCGGCTACAGAGACTGCGTCTTTTTAGGCGGCTTTTCAAATTATTCACGCACATAAGGCACAAAGAGGAAAATCCCCGGTACGATGACTGATCTTATAGCTCACACTGAAGTGTCATGAAAGGATGGACTCTGACGATAATATTTTTCAACATCATGGTAAGCGTCCCGGGTGGCTTCTTGTCCTAGGGAAAATGTAGTGGGGCAGGTAGCCTATCACGATGCATGTCCACTGTTTCTTTGAAGGTAATATCACTATAATAACATAATGAGGTTTTGGCAGATATATGACAAGGATCGTTGGGGAACCTAAGCATAATAGTGTCGTAATGTGTACTGGATGACATGACGTGAACTACCCATCAATCCTATGTATCTCGTCCTTACAAAGCGCCATTGTCTGACAAAATATGCGCTCCTGTGTGCTTTCTGTCAACATAGCTTTCTGCTTCTATTTTAGTTTTGCAAATCCTCACTGTATAAACGAAATAGCCCACAAATATTTATTAGGTTTCCGTTGACAGCATCTTGCCGGTACAATGTAGCCAGAGGGAATTTGGGCACGAGATCATTTATACCCTGTTTTAGGGATGTCTGACTGTCTGGCTACACTTGCTTTGAAGTCAAAGTGTGATCATCTTCTTAGCTGTGTATATCAAATCACATGCGTTTCTAACACTTCCAGACGATAAAACGACTTCCGTGCTCAATGAGCCCTGTACGAGTACTTTCTAATTGAGTCAGTGTAACGGGTTTACACGTAACCTGGTAACAGGTGTGTGCAGCTGAGATATCAAATCAAATGCGTTTTAGCGCTTCCAGATGTGCTACACCAAAGAATTTTCCTCTTTGCCCCAGGGCAAGCAGGACGGGCTTAACAAGCTGATGTCCTTGCTTGG